AGAAGATAGCCACCAACTGAGGAACCTCTTCCGGCTTCAGCGCACGCAGCTTTACCTCCACAGCTCGCAAATTGCTGAAGCTTCAATCCACCATTAAACCCCCCATTGCAGAAATTATCTTCTCCACAATCGCCTTCCTCCAGAAGTTAAAAGGCAGCCCAACTAACTTTAAGTTAAAGCTTTCCCACAGATACATCCTACTCATTGCAGGACATATGCCACTCTTCAATGGTAACCAACCCTGCCTGTGTTTGAAAAGAAGATAACTCAATCTTCTCACCCCCTGCATCTAGAACCGCTCTACTGTCACCAAAAGGCACTACCAATGAATCCAGAGGAAGCCCAACCTTCTTTGCAATATCTGCTAAAATAGGTTGCCAGTCTGCAACCTTCGTACCAGCAGTAAACCCCTTTCTCCACTTCCAACTCCAGCTTTCGTGTCTTCACTGAGCAGGAGATCATCGATTGTTCTGCCATTACCGATTGTCTTCCCTTTACTTCATTGTTTACCGTTTCATCCCCCACTGCACCCTCGATTTCTTTTTCCTGTAATTCCTTTTGCACCCCATTCTTCGCCTCCTCAGTCAGAATTAAATACTCCTGTAACCTCCCAGCAAAAAGTCTCCACCCCTGTTGCTTATTTCCTTCTGGAATACAAACTATCTTCCCCTTCCCTTCCCCGAAACACTCTGATAAGATTATGTACCAGACCTTCTTGTTAATCCTCAGTGCGACTCCAAACTCTTCCCTTCTGTCTTCAGTTGACCCTTCCAACCATTCTCTTTCTTCGTGTAAATTGCTGCATCCACGATTCCACGAAACCTTTAACCCATACCACAGCATCCCTGAACAAGACAACAGTGGTTTTTTTCTCTTCTCTAATCTTCAGACAAGCTTGACTGTTGTTTCGGCAGTCCTCGAAAACAAACTTCTTAGCTTCAAACACCATTTCTCTTCTCCATCTCACAGCCAGCTTGAAACCTTCACTCCCCATCTCACAACCTAGGATGATGAGGGAGACTCCTTTGAAAACTCCTTTCCTGCAATTGTGTAACTTCTTGATGCAGACACAGCAGGACGAATCCTATGCAATAGCTCTGCTAAAATGAAGCACATAGGTTGGCAGTTGGCACTATAACTTTTGCCAAACCTCATGAATATGCAAGATTCCATCAGGACTATAAGGACACACAGCTTGTACTCAAAACAAAAAAGAGAAAATCTCCATAGAATAGACACCACCTTACATTAAATAATTGCATCATGTCTTCTTCACCGTTTACACATGTAGCAAATACTTATCATTCGAAAGCCTCTCTTTGATCAATCATGAGGATGACATCCAATGCTGCCAACCACACAAAAGCTTCCACCCTCAGATGAATAAGATTACTCCAAATTAGCAGACCTATTTAGAGAAGATTACGAGGGATTTCTTGTGGGAGACTGGTGAAGGAAAGATCATCTGGTTAAATGGGATTTAGTGTGCAAGAGCAAGGAACAAGGGGGTTTGGGTATAGGTAACATAGGGGAGAAGAATATAGTGATGTTGGGTAAATGGCTATGGAGATGGCTTCTAGAAAAGAGACTTTGGCATGAGGTTGTCGATAGCATTCATGAACGAGTAGATAACAGTTGGTATGCTAGGGTAAGCTAATTTGGCATCACCTTGGATGGTCATAGACGGAGTTCTTCCTCACTTTCTAAGTCTTATCAAGTATGATGTGCGTTACGGAGATAAATTATATTTTCGGAGGACCTTTGGATTGGCAACTCCACCCTAAAGGACCTTTTTCCTTCCTTGTACTCCCTCTTTGTGTTTAAAAACGAACCCTTCCAAAGATTTGTCTCTTTTTCCTCACCAACTAGTATTACTTGGAATTTGGGCTTAAGAGGATATTTAAGAGACCATGAGTTTGACCAGGCTGCCTTACTTTTAAAAAGTCGTGGTTCTGTGACTTCTGTCTATATGGATCCTTCTAAGCCAAATGGTCATATTTGGACTCCTCACTCTAAGGGCCTGTTCAATGCTTTTTTTCTACATTATGTTCTACCCCCTACCCCTTAGACTTTCTCATATAAAGAGATTTGATCCATGCCCATCCCTCCTAAGGTTGGAACCCATTGTAGGGAAATCTTTCATGGGAAACTAAACACCCTAGACAATTTGCCAAAATGAAGACTTTACCTTTGTATCTCCCCAAACTAGTGTACTCTGTGAGTTATGGAGAAAGTTGTTACCACCTACTAGTCTCTGGCCCTTTTATTGCAGGCTTTTGGGAAAAGTTTTTTGGTCCTTTTGGTTGCAAGTTGATTGTGCTTTGCAGATTGATAACCTTTTTGACCCTAGAACCTTTAGATGGCCGAATAGAAGAGGTAAAGTTTTGTGGAGATGTGCTAGAGCCACCTTGACATGGACACTGTGATAGGAGAGAAATGATAGAATCCTCAATGATAAGAAAAGGAATGAAGAGGCTGCTTGGGAATGGATAGTTAAAAGGGCAATACATTGGGCTAAATCTGTGGACTTATTCTTAGACTTTTCCTTCGATGATATTTGGCAGAAAAAAGTTCTACTGCGAAGGAAAGGCATGTTGTAGCTTGGATGCCCCCTAAAGGATTCATTAACTGAAATTTTGATGATAGCAGCCTAGGTAACCTAGGGTCTTCTAGTATAGGGGGAGTCTTCAGGAATACTGAAGGTCGTTTTCTTGTTTTTTCTCAGGTCCTGCAGGAGTGGGGGATTCTGTGCATGCTAATTTTAAGCAGCATTGCAGGGAATACAGATTGCTAGAGCATTAAACTATGAAAGATTGTTAATTGAAGGTGATTGGGTGGTTAAAGGAAGGTCCAGATACAGTATTTTGGACCTATAAGGAAGCAATGAAAAGATTTAAATCATTGACCAAAACATGACTGTCAGAATTCAATCGGAAAGGAGATCAGATAATACAATGGCTGATTTTTTAACTAAGAAAGGGGTGCATAAGTTTCAGTTATATTGGGCTCACTTGATTCAGGTGACTCCTTCCCATTTTGGGTTGATCAATACAAATTGATGAGAAGAAGGACTCTAACATTGCTGTTTCTACCTGAAACATATTGGGTTGATCAATACAAATTGGCATACAACTGTTATTTGAGGTATATATAGTGAAAACAGAAATATCTTAAAAATGCCTGTCTAGGAGGATGTTTGTAGAAATGTCAACATGAAGCTTCTTGCTCCAGGAGGGGGGGGGGAATGAAGTCTAATCATCCTAGCTCAAATGACTCTCATAAGTGATATAACAACACATATCTCTCTCCAAGTTGTATTGATCAACCTCAAATGTTTCAGGTAGACACAGGTACCAAACACAACATCAATAAATCACTTTGAGAGACACCTTTGAACTCCTCACTGACCATAGCCCAACAGACCACCCTTATCATAATGAGCTCATTCAGCATTCCCACCTCCGTAGCCTTCTACCATTTCTTTCATTTCACAAACCCCATAATACAGGAGCCCACATACACTTCCATAAAATTTTCTATCTTGAGATCTTGCACACAATAGCACCCATAACAAACAAGTCCTTCAGCTTTGAAGGGGCCACACAATTGCTTCCTCCCAAAGAGAAGAGTGATTCCATACTTAGGTATCAAAACCAAATGCATAAGAAGATGGTTAGTGTTTTCCCCACTTCTCAAGAAGAGAACGCACACATGAGGAGAGAGACACTAGTTTGTCCTTTTTCTTTCGAATCTATCACAGCCATTGATGACGTGATTGGCAGATTCCCAACAAAAGGTCTTTACTTTAGGAGGAATGGGACCACACCACAGATGCTGGAAAAAGGCTAGTTTCTATGGGACCACACCATGGATTCCCGACAAAGATGCACAGAAAAATTAGTATTTGGATCCCATACTCTACCACCCACTCCAACAGAAAATAAATTTAAAAGATCTTGGTCACATTGAATAGATAGCTGAAAAACCTACCCATTGACACCAAAATCATGCAAAATAGACAAGGCTGATCAAAGTGATGTGATTACATCTTTACATTTTCAAAGTTCTAAAAGCACTCTATAATAATATATAACATTCCTTACCTTTCTTTAAAAAACAAAAGAACTCCCTAATCATATCTTTAAACTAACTTGACCCTTTAAGACAGTTAACCATATTCCCAAGACACTAATAATAACTACAAAGATAAATTTGGAAAGCTCAAAAAATACCAAAATCACAATCACCCAAAAACTATGAAATAATCATTAGTGCAGGAACTGGAGGAAAACTTATTTCTTTCTCCAGGAGTTATTTTCTGGTCCCTAAGTCTGTCAAAGAGCCTAATGGACTTTCTATTCCCATCATCCTCTAAGTATTTTTGGTACAGACACACCTACTGTAGGTCCCCAGTATATTTCTGCCCTATCCACCCCCTTTCTAGCTAGAAATTCAGCCAAAGAATTAGCTGTTCTCTTGACACAAGTGAATGAGGCATTCATTGAGAAGCCAAGAGACCTTGCTTCTCTAATTTCGTGACTATAGTTCTACAGTATCTTGCCACTCCCCAATTCATCCAGCTAATAAACACTTCGCAATCACCTTCAACCAACAATCTAGAAGAACCCTAAGTAAGAGAGGACATACCATAACCCATATAGAAGTGATAATAATTCAGCCCTTATTAAGTTATCTTTGCCAATTAGCCCTGAGTGAACGTAACTCCTTCATGATTACAAAATGAAAACAGCTCCACCTATTCTAAGCTAACTAGGTTGTCTAGACAGTACCCATCAAAGTTCAGTTTAATGGCTTCCATGAACAATGTTCCCCGTGACATAGGGGCCACGACTATGTTCATGTTAGTACCAGTGTACGATTACAGTGAATTGCCAGTGTTTCATCCGGCTCGTGTCAGTACCAGCCTAAATATGTGGAAATCTTTAGCACCATTAGATTTGTGAGATTGAGAAAATTAATCAGCGGCATTTTTCACCTACCTCGGCCTCATCAACATGCTTCCAGCATGTCTGTTCACCTCCATCCCAGCCTCGATCGCCAGCATCATCTCTTCCCCCCCTTCCACCACCTCCAGCACCCCGATTCTTGGCAGCATACGATCGATCCTTGGAATTATCCTCGTCTCCGGATGAGATACTCAGCAATTCGACCTCCGAATCGTCGTCGTCATCGACAGTTTGACGAGGTTTCTGAGCAGGCTTCGAGCTAGTCATTTTCGGTGCAGAACCCCTGTGAGAAGGTTGCTGAACGAGATTTGTGACCTGCTTGGCCTTGGAAGCTGGGCCCTTCTGGTAATGTCTCTGCGCTTGCTCTTTTAGCGCGATCTGGAGAAGCTCATCTTCGTCATCAGTGTCGCTTGACATTCTGATTAGTTCTTGCTCTTCTTGTTTATTTTTTCAGATCCGACAACGAACAGTGATGATTTGTAGATCTTGTATCTTTTTATTCCTGAGGGAGAGGGAACGAAATAATGGAAGAGTACGGAAAATTCTGAGTTTCAAAGGAATGGATCGTGATTTTTCGGTTCTTGCTGGCGTCAAATCTGTGGAATGTTACTACATTATATATGCCCTTCGATGAGAATATGTAATTGCTATATCATTGCATCAAATGCCGCCCACTATCATTACTACTTAAATGTAATAGCACGTGTTATTCAGGTGCGCAAATTGGAATGGCAATTTTTCGGCCTCCCCCCGGTCCAGGTAGAGGTGTGAATTGGACTGGATTTGGTTCAACCTAATCAGCTCACTGTGAGTCCACTTATAAATGGATTGACCCAATCCAATCCATTAAAATATAAATGGACTCGATTGGATCATAAAAAAGAATATATACAAAGTTATAAAAATATACAAAAACCATTTTTGTAAAAGTGCTTTGATAAAAGTACTTTCATAAAAGTCCTTTTACAAAAGTATTTTTTATGAAAGTATTTCATAAAAGTGCTTTTATAAAAGTATTTTTGCATAAGTGCTTTTATAAAAATACTTTTATAAAGTGATTTTATTAAAGTGCTTTTATAAAACTGTTATTGTAAAAGTGATTTCATAGAAGTACTTCTGTAAAAGTGCTTTCGTAAAAGTACTTTTCATACAATTACTTATGTAAAAGTGATTTTATGTTGATTTCAGTTTTGATAGGCTTCAAATTGGACAAGGATTTGGCTTCATGATTTTAGAAAGTTGGTTTAGGTCCAATTCAGACCCTAAAACCAGTCGATTGATACCCCTAGGTCCAGGATAGGGATTGCATTACCAGGGCGGGGTCGGGGATGGGGATGATCAAGGGTCCCCGGTTAGGGATGGGGTGGGGATTGATAGTATAGTCCCCACCTTGCCCTAATCCTAATTATATTATATTATATTATATTATATTATATTATATTATATTATATTATATTATATTATATTATATTATATTATATTATATTATATTATATTATATTATATTATATTATATTATATTATATTATATTATATTATATTATATTATTTATAGTATTTTATATAGATATAATATTATCTATAGTTGAAACTATACTATAGGGTCAATGAAAAAGACCCCTATACTTTATTTTGCAACAAAAGACTCCCTGAACTTTAGTTGTGAGATGAAGACCCCCTAACCATTAACTCGGTTGACGGAAGGTGTTATTTTACCAAAACACCCTACCACAAGTGAGGGGGCATGAAATGCTTTTTTTTTCAATATGACCTAAATGGGCATCATGTCCCCTATTCACTATTACCCAAATATTTTTTTAGATTTTAGTCTAAACCTCGAACCAACTCCATTTGAGAACCAAAATATCACACTTGGAAAATCGTTGGATATGCAAGAAAACCACAATATTGTTCACATATAAACTTTGTTGATGAAGAAGACCTGTGTTGTCATCACCAAAGAAGAAAGGATCTGCTCTGCAGTCGCCAGAAAAGAACACGTGCTTTTTGTTGTCACTAGAGAAGAAGGTAACCTATTGCATAATAATACAAGAAAATGTAAGAAACTATGTTATTTGATTCAAAGAAAGGGAATTCATAGTATGTAGGGTTCCGTCTGTCAACAAACCCTAAGATTTTCATTGTTCCTTTTGCCAACTTCTAAATTTTGTTCATGTTCGTTACTTATCTCCCGTTTGCATGGAATATTGTATTCAAATGATTTGTTTATACTAATTAATTTATACGTTAGTGTAATATTGTTTGTAATTAGTATTTTACCTCGATAAAATACTGTTCATATTTGTTTTTAACACTTTTTACTGTGTTTTATCTCGGTATAATATTGTTCTGATCTACCTTTCATTATTGTATTTAATCGTAGTAAAATATTTGTCCAGGTCCATCTTTAACACTTTTTACTGTGTTTGATCTTAGTATAATATTGTTCATCTATCTTTAACTCTTTTTTACTATGTTTTATCCCAGTATAATATTGTCTACAGATAGTGATTCATTGTATATTTTTGTTAGAAAAACTTTTGTTGTGGACATGTTTGTGGTTAGCTTCAGCTATTTAATAGTTCTTTATTGTTAGATTCCTAGTATATTAATGTTAGCTCCATGTCTTTAACATTGCTTTATTGTTGGAAATTGAAAGTCAATGGTACATGTAATTACAACATCTTTATTGCTATGGTGGTAGATCCTAACGTATATAGAAATGGATTTAAACATCCACTTTATTATCCACCATGCCTCCTTGTCATGTTAACATGTGTAGAAAGTATGAGAAGAGGCTAAATAAAAGTGTTAAAAAATGGGGGAGCATAAGAACAAAGGGGGTTATTTTACAAAACAACAAAGACAAAAGGGTTAACTCAAAAAGGCAAACCAAAACATTTGTGTGTGTGTGG